AGCATGCGTGCGAACGCATCTAAAACGAAAAGCCTGGTGCTTTCTCGTTCTCCTGCCCGTTGCTCTCTTCAGATTACTGGAGAGGCAGTGGAGCAGGTGGAGAAGTTCAAGTACCTCGGATGAAAGAAGTGATGGAAAGTTGGAGGAAGAAATCGACCGGCGAATTGGAGTAGCCAGTGGCGTTCTGCGTGAACTAGCCGGAATGGTTGTGATTAAAGCAGAGTTGAGTCTCGTCATGGTTCGGAGTACAGAAATTGAAGAGCGGCTAGGTGGACAGCCGCTGTTTTTTGAGATTGAGAAGTCAGGGCTGTCATGGTTTGAGCACTTGTTGCGAAATGCTCCAGAATGGAAGGGGAAGCAACTTGTACTTGTTCAGCCGACTGGCAAAAGATCCAGGAGACGGCGAAGATCAACCTGGGACATGGGCATTGAAAGAGTTTGTTCTACAACTCCAGTTGTGCTCTGTCGAAGCTGAGACGCTGGCACAGGGTCAGGAATGTTTGAAGAAGTGTGACGCGTGCTTGAGCGACCAAAAACACAAGAGACGGTAACGAAAAGTGAAATGAAGCTCTGAAAGTATTTGCAACACACTGTACGTTTTAGATGAGGAATGGATTCGGTGAGCAGCAGAAATTGCAGTTAATAAAACAGTTTTACGGTGCACTGGAGGTTTGAACGCTGCAACTTTTTAAGTAAAGGCAGAGTACTAAGCCAGTGTGGCACTGTACCCAGCCACCCAATGAAAAAGGTTTCATAAAGTACAACACCATCGACCTAACTGTTCCCCATACAAAATATCACTACTCTCCTCTTGTCGAAGACAAAACCGTCAATTGTAGAAACACGTCATGAAATTATGATGAAGCACATACACACGATAAAAAGGAAAATCGCCTGGCAAGCGGCAGGTTGTCAAGGTTTTCGTTTTTCGTGTGACAGCCGCGTTGTGCGGTCGATTGAGCTACTTTAACGCGATCGAACAGATGTCACGGTAACACAATGCGCATTGAATTGCGACACTTTTCACCGCTATTCTTCACACCCTCTTCGATGGCGCATTATGTGTATTCAGGCCGCTGATTCGACTGCGAAACTCCGACGCGGAAGAGGACATAGTTGCACCAGCCAACTAGACCGCTGAATGCCCACCCCGCCTGCAGAGCCACCAGAGCCGGACACGTTCTGGTTGGTCAGAAATCCAGTGGGTCTTCGGATGATCTGTTCATATATCGGCACTTATCGTCTTTGTTCACGACTTATAAACAGGTAACCACTGGAGCAAGGTGTAGACAAGAGAAATTTCATTTTGAGGAAAATGTTTTTGTCAACTGAAATGATTGTTTTGAAAAACGCACAGAACACACGCAACGACTCACAGATGGCTTGGTATCAAATGTTTGGCAAGTGATAAAAAATCTGGTCGAATGCACGACATTTCAGGGGTGTCTAGGAGCTTGCACATCTACTATAATCAGATATATGCAGGTGGAGTCAGAAGTCTAATGGCCTTTCGGATGATCTGAAAAAAAAGTAAAAGTTCTAACTGCTGGAATAGCAGTCTTCCTCACACTTTCATTATGTTACCATTTCTGGCATCCTTCTTTTCATGAAGAAGTGTCTTATTTTTACGGACAGAGTCAACAGCAGCCACGTGGAAAGCACAGTATATAGCCTCCTGTTTCCTTTTGAGAAAATGGTACTCATTTATGAAAATTGGAAGGAAGGGCGAGTGACGCCCCCCCCCCCCAGCGGGATTGAAACGCGGGAC